CTGTTAAAAGCGGCGTTAAACACAACTCACTCACTCACTCATTATGTGTCGGAATTGCATTTTGAAACAGGTGGTGTTTAATTAATTCTTATGTGTATTATATTAAAAAAATGTAACTGATATCTTTTTTGAAATTATTCCTTTTCTTCAAGTGTAACATTGGGTTTTCTTCAATGGTTACAGTGGGTTACCCAGATCTATGTATAACTGGGTCTAGATCAGTGAGTGAAAACGAACTACCCAAGTTTACTTAAAAATGCATTTGCGTCAGATGCATTACATTCTGTTGAATACCTCCAGCTAAACCGGAAAACTGAATGAATGGAAAGCAAGACTCCATTAACTGTTTCTTTTCCTTCTGTTTGTGTCCAGCGTATCTAACAGAAAATTGTGTATATAATGACAAAAACCTGTGCAGGTAATTAAGTTAGGACGTTAAAACCCTATCCTGCACTCTTGTCCTGGCTACGCTTGAATTTGAGTACTCTTGTATGTATTGAATTGGTGTGCTCCTTTATTCTTCTCATGAACTGTTATATTTTACGCTTAATTTGGCTAGATTTGGCCAGCTGTGATACGCATTTCAATATGTAAATTAGCACTTTATAATATTTACATTTGCCGAATCATTGCTATTTATGTTTGTTTGTTTGTTTATTGCTTAACGCCGCACTCAGCAATATTCCAGCTATATGGCGGCGGTCTGTAAATAATCGAGTCTGGACCCGACAATCCTGTGATTGATATCATGATGCTATTTATGATTTACATGGTTTTGCTTATATATTCAGTTCATACTTACAGATTGTATGGGCCCTTCACAAACATGTACATTATTTTATTGCCTTTATTAACAGAATAAACATGTATATTATGTGTTGCTTTTAGGAAAACACCGTTTATTTTTTTTACGTAAATGCTCTACTCGGCGCCAATAAGTGGTGCTGTTTGATTGGATTAAGGTAAGGATATGTATCATTCCATTGGGGATGGGGTGGGGGTGGGGGATGGGGTGGGGGTGGGGGAGTCGCGTTGATATTGAGTCGCATTGTTGGCTTGGTGTCAGCAGTCTTATTTATTTGGAGACGCATTAATTTCAAGATATACAGTAGAAATGAAATTGCAGCTTCAGTTGAAATAGTTTGCCTAGAGCCCAACAAGTCAATCAAAAATCTTCTTCACCTTTACTTTGCTCGTTCATTTCAGCTTGCTTTATTCTGACACTTGTCAATGCTTGAGCGACCGAGCGTGAGGCCAGGTCAGCGCGTGCAAACACTTGTGACACATTGCTTACCTTCCACTGCGACGGTTTGAATGTATACCATTTAAACCTGTTCATACACCCTCTGATAAAGCATTCACTCTCGAGCTCCTGAGCTGATAAACAGTAAAGTGGCAAAGGATAGCAAAGGATCAACAGAATGAAGGTACGTTATCCTAAAAGTTTGAACGTATAAACGAGTCCAGAGTGGGAGTGCGGGGGTTCGCACCAGCGTTATGGAAGCATATTAATCAAGTTGGCGTATGAAAACATATAGCAAAATCAAATTTGGTGACAAGTTTGCAATAAAATCACAATTCAATTATTGCTTTGTGACTTTGAATGTGTGTACTTACATGTTCTCTCGGTCAGAGAGTGTCGTAAAGAAAACGTTTGGAATGGGGATCGGACGGTGTGACAGGGTGCAGGCTAAAACGGCACCGATTTCTCTGGCGAAAACGGCTACTATGTGCAAGCGACCATTTTAGTTTAATACCACTTATTTTATCAAGATTTATTCCGCTCCAGAAGTTTCTGCTCCAGTGACCACACCACGGGTGTAGGCTCGTCACGTGTACGGACTTTTCTCTTGCTTGTAACAAACGCACTTACTCTGAAATAAGAACAGACTTGTCTAATGCAAGCCTTTAAGTGCGCTTTTCATATTGGTTTGCATAATTATATAGACATACTGCTAGAACTGCGACAGTCTGGTGAATGAAAATATAGCTTTACATGTCAAACTGACCTTATCGCTAGCTCATCGTAAGGCTTCGGTGACATCACGTGGATGATAAATACGCAGCGTCCAACAGACGAAAAAGACATAAATGGACTGTGAGATGTGACGATGTGACAGAGGAATGATGACCTCATTGGCTTCATACGACCGAGGCATATTTATTTTGTAATCTAGGCTTTGATAAACACTGGCTTCTTATCTTATCAAGCTAGTGATTAATATTTCGTAACTCATTCGTAAGAAAAACACAATATTTCTCTTCAGTTTGCCTCTGATACAAAAGCGCTACTGAAGTCAGTTTACTCTGCGCTGTGCTTGCCTGGCCGGCTTTGATGTGCGGATCTCTATTGCTTTGTTTTGAGAAGTGAAACGGGCATGTGACGTCAAACTGGGACATTAGGTCATGCATGATTTAAAAACACACAGAACCGTGGACATACTCTCCCTTTAAATGTCTAAAACTGTACATATTGATGTGGATGAATGCTTATGCTGAAGTGTGCACTCATGTGATTGTAATCGTCAAAGAATTTTAGCTGTGACATGTTGCAACACATAGACAGAGTAAAAAAACTTATTATTGTTGACGTGTTCTCACAGTTAACAAAGCCATTTACATTACACTAAAATAGCGACAAAACCCTTTCTATATATAGCAGAAATATCCTGTCACGGACCAGCACCATCACAGAAAAGGACAACACGCCTACTGTTTAACACAACAGAAAATGTATTCACAGATCACACAAGGTCATCCATACACAATACCATTCATTCAAGAAGAGCCAAGATGAAATCCTGCCACGAAGTTTCTGGATGTGCCACGCCTTTGTCAATGAAGGTTTGCACGTGTCCTGCTGTCATAGAGTAACAGTTTAAACAATAAGCCACTCCCCGTGATTTCCACTTAAGCGTAATAACTGCTCCCTTAGCAGGGAATTCTGGGAACCTCGCGACGGCTGCTTCCGCCATGAATGTAAACACTCAAGAAGAGTAAATACATGTACATCTTGACTATCCCTCTAATACCGGGTTGTCTTGTTTATTAAATGATTGTATGTAGTCTGGGGTTACCACACCTGCCTTGTCACAAGCAAGGTAAGACTGGTCCTGCCACAAAGCAAGGTGGAGTATCTTCCACTGAAGAAAGTTCTTGGTGACACCAGGTTCCTCAGGAGTCCTGATAAAATTTGACCTCATCCCGACGTCATCACCGCCGGCACATTTCTACCCAGCCATTGCAGTTAGAAATACTCAACCTCCTGTATGTTCAGTTTGAACAACTGGTCGTGTTCGAGATAGCAGTTCTCTGGTTGCGTTCGAGAGAGCTGTTCACACATACAGGCCAGTGGGCAACGTGTTGGCTTACTTTAACTTCACCGTAGCCTGATTACAGTTCAATTTGTGACAGTGTTGACAGTGTTCCATTAAAAACTGGCAGGTGCGAAACAAGGCGATAGAGTAGTAAACTGATAAACAGAATGTCTGGTGCTACCATCACACAAGTAATAAATTTGACGGTGGTATTCGGTACCGATGTATTGGCGTTGTGTGAAAAATACTAAAAACGTTCATTCAGCAATGCTGAAACGTATTAGCAACCAGCCCTCACCAAGAAGCGGACGGTCACATTTTGCAGTTAAAAACGATTATTGTCAGCCTAGTAGGAATCACCACTGACTCTGCAATAAGTATCTGGAATATCCCACATTAAGCTGACACGCCGTGATATAAGTGGAATACTGTTAAAAGCGGCGTTAAACACAGCTCACTCACTCACTCATTATGTGTCGGAATTGCATTTTGAAACAGGTGATGTTTAATTAATGCTTATGTGTATTATATTAAAAAAATGTAACTGATATCTTTTTTGAAATTATTCCTTTTCTTCAAGTGTAACATTGGGTTTTCTTCAATGGTTACAGTGGGTCACCCAGATCTATGTATAACTGGGTCTAGATCAGTGAGTGAAAACGAACTACCCAAGTTTGCTTAAAAATGCATTTGCGTCAGATGCATTACATTCTGTTGAATACCTCCAGCTAAACCGGAAAACTGAATGAATGGAAAGCAAGACTCCATTAACTGTTTCTTTTCCTTCTGTTTGTGTCCAGCGTATCTAACAGAACATTGTGTATATAATGACAATAACCTGTGCAGGTGATTAACTTAGGACGTTAAAACCCTATCCTGCACTCTTGTCCTGGCTACGCTTGAATTTGAGTACTCTTGTATTCTTGTATTTAATTGGTGTGCTCCTTTATTCTTCTCATGAACTGTTATATTTTTACGCTTAATTTGGCTAGATTTGGCCAGCTGAGATACGCATTTCAATATGTAAATTAGCACTTTATAATATTTACATTTGCCGAGTCATTGCTATTTATGTTTGTTTGTTTGTTTATTGCTTAACGCCGCACTCAGCAATATTCCAGCTATATGGCGGCGGTCTGTAAATAATCGAGTCTGGACCAGACAATCCTGTGATTGATATCATGATGCTATTTATGATTTACATGGTTTTGCTTATATATTCAGTTCATACTTACAGATTGTATGGGCCCTTCACAAACATGTACATTATTTTATTGCCTTTATTAACAGAATAAACATGTATATTATGTGTTTCTTTTAGGAAAACACCGTTTATTTTTTTTACGTAAATGCTCTACTCGGCGCCAATAAGTGGTGCTGTTTGATTGGATTAAGGTAAGGATATGTATCATTCCATTGGGGATGGGGTGGGGGTGGGGGAGTCGCGTTGATATTGAGTCGCATTGTTGGCTTGGTGTCAGCAGTCTTATTTATTTGGAGACGCATTAATTTCAAGATATACAGTATAAATGAAATTGCAGCTTCAGTTGAAATAGTTTGCCTAGAGCCCATCAAGTCAATCAAAAATCTTCTTCACCTTTACTCTGCTCGTTCATTTCAGCTTGCTTTATTCTGACACTTGTCATTGCTTGAGCGACCGAGCGTGAGGCAAGGTGAGCGCATGCAAACACATGTGACACATTGCTTACCTCCCACTGCGACGGTTTGAATGTATACCATTTAAACCTGTTCATACACCCTCTGATAAAGCATTCACTCTCGAGCTCCTGAGCTGATAACCAGTAAAGTGGCAAAGGATAGCAAAGGATCAACAGAATGAAGGTACGTTATCCTAAAAGTTTGAACGTATAAACGAGTCCAGAGTGGGAGTGCGGGGGTTCGCACCAGCGTTATGGAAGCATATTAATCAAGTTGGCGTATGAAAACATATAGCAAAATCAAATTTGGTGACAAGTTTGCAATAAAATCACAATTCAATTATTGCTTTGTGACTTTGAATGTGTGTACTTACATGTTCTCTCGGTCAGAGAGTGTCGTAAAGAAAACGTTTGGAATGGGGATCGGACGGTGTGACAGGGTGCAGGCTAAAACGGCACCGATTTCTCTGGCGAAAACGGCTACTATGTGCAAGCGACCATTTTAGTTTAATACCACTTATTTTATCAAGATTTATTCCGCTCCAGAAGTTTCTGCTCCAGTGACCACACCACGGGTGTAGGCTCGTCACGTGTACGGACTTTTCTCTTGCTTGTAACAAACGCACTTACTCTGAAATAAGAACAGACTTGTCTAATGCAAGCCTTTAAGTGCGCTTTTCATATTGGTTTGCATAATTATATAGACATACTGCTAGAACTGCGACAGTCTGGTGAATGAAAATATAGCTTTACATGTCAAACTGACCTTATCGCTAGCTCATCGTAAGGCTTCGGTGACATCACGTGGATGATAAATACGCAGCGTCCAACAGACGAAAAAGACATAAATGGACTGTGAGATGTGACGATGTGACAGAGGAATGATGGCCTCATTGGCTTCATACGACCGAGGCATATTTATTTTGTAATCTAGGCTTTGATAAACACTGGCTTCTTATCTTATCAAGCTAGTGATTAATATTTCGTAACTCATTCGTAAGAAAAACACAATATTTCTCTTCAGTTTGCCTCTGATACAAAAGCGCTACTGAAGTCAGTTTACTCTGCTCTGTGCTTGCCTGGCCGGCTTTGATGTGCGGATCTCTATTGCTTTGTTTTGAGAAGTGAAACGGGCATGTGACGTCAAACTGGGACATTAGGTCATGCATGATTTAAAAACACACAGAACCGTGGACATACTCTCCCTTTAAATGTCTAAAACTGTACATATTGATGTGGATGAATGCTTATGCTGAAGTGTGCACTCATGTGATTGTAATCGTCAAAGAATTTTAGCTGTGACATGTTGCAAGACATAGACAGAGTAAAAAAACTTATTATTGTTGACGTGTTCTCACAGTTAACAAAGCCATTTACATTACACTAAAATAGCGACAAAACCCTTTCTATATATAGCAGAAATATCCTGTCACGGACCAGCACCATCACAGAAAAGGACAACACGACTACTGTTTAACACAACAGAAAATGTATTCACAGATCACACAAGGTCATCCATACACAATACCATTCATTCAAGAAGAGCCAAGATGAAATCCTGCCACGAAGTTTCTGGATGTGCCACGCCTTTGTCAATGAAGGTTTGCACGTGTCCTGCTGTCATAGAGTAACAGTTTAAACAATAAGCCACTCCCCGTGATTTCCACTTAAGCGTAATAACTGCTCCCTTAGCAGGGAATTCTGGGAACCTCGCGACGGCTGCTTCCGCCATGAATGTAAACACTCAAGAAGAGTAAATACATGTACATCTTGACTATCCCTCTAATACCGGGTTGTCTTGTTCATTGTGATTGTATGTAGTCTGGGGGTTCCCACACCTGCCTTGTCACAAGCAAGGTAAAACTGGTCCTGCCACAAAGCAAGGTGGAGTATCTTCCACTGAAGAAAGTTCTTGGTGACACCAGGTTCCTCAGGAGTCCTGATAAAATTTGACCTCATCCCGACGTCATCACCGCCGGCACATTTCTACCCAGCCATTGCAGTTAGAAATACTCAACCTCCTGTATGTTCAGTTTGAACAACTGGTCGTGTTCGAGATAGCAGTTCTCTGGTTGCGTTCGAGAGAGCTGTTCACACATACAGGCCAGTGGGCAACGTGTTGGCTTACTTTAACTTCACCGTAGCCTGATTACAGTTCAATTTGTGACAGTGTTGACAGTGTTCCATTCAAAACTGGCAGGTGCGAAACACGGCGATAGAGTAGTAAACTGATAAACAGAATGTCTGGTGCTACCATCACACAAGTAATAAATTTGACGGTGGTATTCGGTACCGATGTATTGGCGTTGTGTGAAAAATACTAAAAACGTTCATTCAGCAATGCTGAAACGTATTAGCAACCAGCCCTCACCAAGAAGCGGACGGTCACATTTTGCAGTTAAAAACGATTATTGTCAGCCTAGTAGGAATCACCACTGACTCTGCAATAAGTATCTGGAATATCCGCCCTTCCCACAGATGACATTAGCGAGGCGTCTCCTCATGCTGCTGTTCAGACGTGATTTCAACACTGGAAACCTCTGCCATTCCTGGTTCAGGGCATGGGTTAGTTCACTCACGTTTTGAAATAGATGGTCTCAAGCTCTCACGTCGGGGCAAAGGTAGTTCCAAAGGTGGCCCAGTGGTCTATGGCGCCGCGATTCGCTGTGCAGAGTTGCGTCCCTTCGGTACGCCAGAAACCTATGATTGTGGGTTCGAATCCCGGTTCGCCCCGTTACGTTTCTAGGTTTGTCAGCACCATACCCGTGCTCGTTGGTTTCACCGAAGTGGTAAACGTCTGAGACCTGCATCACTTCGGGCTTTCCTCCCACATTAAGCTGACACGCCGTGATATAAGTGGAATACTGTTAAAAGCGACGTTAAACACAGCTCACTCACTCACTCATTATGTGTCGGAATTGCATTTTGAAACAGGTGATGTTTAATTAATGCTTATGTGTATTATATTAAAAAAATGTAACTGATATCTTTTTTGAAATTATTCCTTTTCTTCAAGTGTAACATTGGGTTTTCTTCAATGGTTACAGTGGGTTACCCAGATCTATGTATAACTGGGTCTAGATCAGTGAGTGAAAACGAACTACCCAAGTTTACTTAAAAATGCATTTGCGTCAGATGCATTACATTCTGTTGAATACCTCCAGCTAAACCGGAAAACTGAATGAATGGAAAGCAAGACTCCATTAACTGTTTCTTTTCCTTCTGTTTGTGTCCAGCGTATCTAACAGAACATTGTGTATATAATGACAATAACCTGTGCAGGTGATTAACTTAGGACGTTAAAACCCTATCCTGCACTCTTGTCCTGGCTACGCTTGAATTTGAGTACTCTTGTATTCTTGTATTTAATTGGTGTGCTCCTTTATTCTTCTCATGAACTGTTATATTTTTACGCTTAATTTGGCTAGATTTGGCCAGCTGAGATACGCATTTCAATATGTAAATTAGCACTTTATAATATTTACATTTGCCGAGTCATTGCTATTTATGTTTGTTTGTTTGTTTATTGCTTAACGCCGCACTCAGCAATATTCCAGCTATATGGCGGCGGTCTGTAAATAATCGAGTCTGGACCAGACAATCCTGTGATTGATATCATGATGCTATTTATGATTTACATGGTTTTGCTTATATATTCAGTTCATACTTACAGATTGTATGGGCCCTTCACAAACATGTACATTATTTTATTGCCTTTATTAACAGAATAAACATGTATATTATGTGTTGCTTTTAGGAAAACACCGTTTATTTTTTTACGTAAATGCTCTACTCGGCGCCAATAAGTGGTGCTGTTTGATTGGATTAAGGTAAGGATATGTATCATTCCATTGGGGATGGGGTGGGGGTGGGGGAGTCGCGTTGATATTGAGTCGCATTGTTGGCTTGGTGTCAGCAGTCTTATTTATTTGGAGACGCATTAATTTCAAGATATACAGTATAAATGAAATTGCAGCTTCAGTTGAAATAGTTTGCCTAGAGCCCAACAAGTCAATCAAAAATCTTCTTCACCTTTACTCTGCTCGTTCATTTCAGCTTGCTTTATTCTGACACTTGTCATTGCTTGAGCGACCGAGCGTGAGGCTAGGTGAGCGCATGCAAACACATGTGACACATTGCTTACCTCCCACTGCGACGGTTTGAATGTATACCATTTAAACCTGTTCATACGCCCTCTGATAAAGCATTCACTCTCGAGCTCCTGAGCTGATAACCAGTAAGGTGGCAAAGGATAGCAAAGGATCAACAGAATGAAGGTACGTTATCCTTTAAGTTTGAGCGTATAAACGAGTCCAGAGTGGGAGTGCGGGGGTTCGCACCAGCGTTGTGGAAGCATATTAATCAAGTTGGCGTATGAAAACATATAGCAAAATCAAATTTGGTGACAAATTTGCAATAAAGTCACAATTCAGTCTCGGTCAGAGAGTGTCGTAAAGAAAACGTTTGGAATGGGGATCGGGTGTGACAGATAGGGAATCACCTTACCCCGATGGTAGCAGTGTTGATCGAACTGTCAAACAGCCAGGTGTGTCTGGTGCAGTCTCGATTACATATTGGAACTGGAGTAATGCTCATTACAGCATGAAATATTTCTCATTCTCACGCCATTCGAGGAAAAACAAAGTTGTTTATTATGAACTATTATTCCCTTCCACCATCTGGGTGAACGTGTGATTAGTAACGATATGGAAATGGTTTTGTAGCTTTTAATTACAATCTGGCACTTCGATCATACTGATACAATGCTATTCTGAGCCCGTGCACGTGGTGGTCATTCCCACCCAACCATAAACTGAATAACTTCAATGAGTGGCATTTAGAAGTTGGAATGGTAACTAAGACAAAATCAGCTTGCCAAAACAATACTGAACTATTATCTTCCCACTGGCTTATCCCTTAACCATCAATCACTGTACACCAACCCTATCTTTTGTATAAACTTGTCTTATCATAACTACCTTATCAATCAGTGTACATCAACCTTTTCTGTTATATAAACATCTATCTATTGTTATGTATATATATCATGCTCATACCTAGTTTGTACATCATTTGCTTGATAACGGTGTTAGAATCTACACCGAAACGTCGCCCAATTGTATTAAAGAAGTTGCTCATCCATAACAATTTTGTCTTTGCCATAAACTGTATATTAAAGTTTTTAACGAAAACTTTCTTAAGAAAATGCATATGCTTTGACTTTATAAACTTGATAATCTAGATACAATGATAGTCACACGTTCGATGTAAAAAATATACCACTTACTCGTTTGATGGTCACCGCTTGATAACGCTGATGATGTCCCGTACGCCACAGCATGATTCTATAATGGGTGTGTGTTTTTGACAGTTAGTACAACGTCCACGTAGGACCATTCATCCTAGCACAAAAGGATCGCCCTCTTCAGGGAAAGGCATTGTATCCTTCACACATTGAAGGCAGTCTGCTTTTCAAGGAAGTGTCTACTCAGCTTAGGCTTTCGTCATGGTTTTGACTTGCAATAATGAATACATACGTAGGATGGCTGGATATTCTCGAGCCGATTACATAGTAGTCCCGGTACTATCTCAAAGCAGAGCCTTCTTTTTATACCTTTTTTCACCATTTCCTTCGTAAGTGCAGACAGACGGACACATATGGTTTGTTTTCAGCTTTGCACGATGCACACACGAAGATCTCATTAATTGAATATAATTATAAAACGCCAACGCCAGTGACTCATCTGCCACGATTATCTGCCGAAACAGATTCTATTTCACATAAAGGGCAAAATAGCAGTGAAAAGTGTGTGAATGTGGCATTAAACTAACAACCATTGGAACTAGATATATGAAGCTAGATCATCTCAGTTAATTGATTTGGGACAATAAATACATAATGACTATTGTAATTTCAATTTCCAAATACCTCGGCATTACAACATCAAACATTTGACGAACCGCTGCCACAGTGGATAAGCAGTACTAACGGAAAAGAGTATCTTCATATAAAGTTCAATACAAATATTTTTTCTGAAGTTAAATAATGCATTTTACAGTATATATTCACAAACAACATCTCCTCGACTTTAAGGTCGTGATTTACAATTTGCACTTGCATGTTAATGCACAATTTGGATGTTTGCGTGTTTCTTGGTAGCATACACGTTATTTTTGAATGAGAACAGCACACAATGATTTTTTTAGCTAAAACACGGCTTGCAGAAAATCGAAGTCTATGCGTCTAGCTCGGTGTAGACAGGGTCCGACGCCCAGAAGACAAGACTGGGACTGTGTTTCATCTGGACAGCTCTTATGGTCGTGCAAGGGTGTACAGATGTCCGGCAGAATGTTTTAGCGACGCTTTTATCACTTCACATCGTCCGTTTGAAGAGTCTGGGTGTCTGAGTCTAATGGAATAGGGTGGTATCACAATACATCATAATTGTTAATGACAATTTACATGACGTGCGCTACTGGGGCGACATCCTTCAAGATCATGCTCCACCCTTTGTGCAAACGCAGCGACGTAACATTACGTCGCAGCAGGACAATACCCGATCACTCGTTGCACGTGTTGTAACAGACTTTTGGAGGCAGCATAACATTGCTGTACCTCCATGGCCGGGAAGAGATTGGCCGACGCCTACGACAGGACAATAACCAGCTGGTAACGGTAGCTCAGTTGACATTTGGAACAACACCCCCGGGCTGTTTTCAATCATCTAGTGTCTTTAATGCACCGCCTGTATCAACGCAAACAGTAGACATGCCCGACATTGGCATTGTGAATTTTTACACCACCTCTCTTTTTGGGAGTCACTCTGTCTCATGTTACCAGGTATTTTTTTTTTATCAATAAGTTTGTTATGATAAAATAATTTTATTATATACCTTAATCACCAATCTCCGACTGTTTAATATACATTGCCTAGGCACGATGCGCGTTTTCATGTTTTTTGTTGCGTATTCGATACGCTATTAATTGGTTAGAATTAATGTTTCGCTAATGTTTCGTGCAAATGACTGTAAAAACTGTCTGTCACGTTCGTGCTGTTGAAATGAGGCGCATCGTGATCCAAAGTATTCCTTTTACTCGAAGTAATCACTGCGTCTGCGTTACTCATTAAAAGTCTAATTTCATACCTAAATATTGTCATGTTTTTGCAGGCCCTAGCATGTCTCCGCCGACATGCGTTGCTATTAGCAACACTCGTCTCTGTGGTTCTGGGATTTACGATCGGACTACTATGCCGTCAGCTGAATCCTTCCCCAGACGTCGTCATCCTCATCTCATTTCCTGGGGAGATGTTTCTGCGGATGTTGAAGATGATGATTTTGCCTCTGGTAGTTTCCAGCATCATAACTGGTAATTTAAAGAAATTTCAACATTGTATGCATTTTAGTCTTATAACTTATATATGAGATTTATATTAGTCGATACTATTTGCTTAATGTCAGTCTGTAATATCTGGACAAAACATACATTACGATACAGCTTGAAAATACTCTTTAGTACATAATGTAACAGATAGTAGTTGCATTCCCTAGATGAAGAGGTGAGTTAGAATTCTAATTCTAATGAAAAGATATCGCATACTTTGACGTTGTATTTGTGCCAATTTGTTAGAGCTTATTCCAGGAATGCACAGCTGGTACAATAATTGGTATACTAATGGCTACATATAGTGCACTGCCACACACGTCCCGTCAACTATATTGGCTATATTCTGCCTATGTGTTTAGGTTACACACAACCAAATGTTTTCGCATAGACTTCTATAGTAACGTTATATTTTTTTTAAATAACTAAGCATTCAACAGCTATTACCTGTACGTGTGTGCACAGTTTGACCTTAGAGCAGCAATAAAAAAAATATTAAAAATGACTAGCTTAGCCAGCTCCTTTTCCGAGTACACCACCCTCAGTTTCGCACCAAATGTCACCTACTTGAAAATAGCTGTGGTCACATTCAGCATAAGTCATCATGTTGAAAAAGACAGTACTACATATAGAAAAACAGGGTCAGTTTTAATAACTGGATGGATGTACATTTGAAAGACATAAAAACCTTACAGAATATCCTCCAATCACAGCCTGCAGATATATCTCGATCTGCACTGAAGGCTCCCTACGAAATCCGCACTGTCCAAACTGGTTCTGATTTGGTGTAGTAGAACCTGTATTGCGTAACAAGGATGGTGTAAAGATCAGACGCGGGTTGCAGAGCTGAAACATAATATAATTCATAATAAATACACACGTTCATAGATGTAAGTGTTGATTTCAATCCCCCAAAGTTTGTTAAAATATGATAATCTGCCCTGTAATTTATACTTTCAAATTTTTGATACAAAGATAATGCCAATTTTACTTTATGGATCAGAAATATGGGGTTCTCGAAAATATGAGTGTATAGAAAAAGTATTCATGTAAACGCGTAATTGGGTTTCGATCCTCCGACCCAAATGGTATTGTACTTGGGGAATGTGGCAGATACCCATTGTTTATAATGTCGTTTAAGCGCTGTATAAATATTGGTTTTAACTAACGACTCTTCCATCTGGTACCCAGTAAAACCCTATAACAAGCTATTCTATCTCGATCAAAATGCCAGTCACTCACGCAATAATGATAATAATTGGGCAACAAATATCAAAATCACCCTTTTCAGGTTAGGCCTTGGATACGCATGGATGGATCAGGGCGTTGGAAATATAAAGATGTTTGTGTCATTATTACTCGAAAGAGCTAAAGATTGTTTCAGCAAATATGGACAGAAAAACTAAGAAATAGCATATGTTCATATACCTATTCTCTCTTCAAACAACAATTTGTACTCGAAGAATATCTAATATCTGTAAACTTCGAGCAGATTATTATGATTTAAAGATCTATAAAGGCATATTTGAAAAATCTAACAATAACTGTACATCTTGTAATCTCAATGTTGTAGAAAATGAGAACCACTTTATGCTTGTGTGTAGGGTCTATTTTCAATTAAGAAAGAAGTATATTCTCAAGAAGTGTACAACTTATCCAAATATCAATTTGTTTTACATATTCTAGTCCAACTCAAATGTTACAAAATATTGCATTGTACATACAACATACATTTTAGTTGGAAGAAACATGCATACCTTGTAAATACGTTGAATAATGGGCCTTTGGCCTCTCAGTTTGCCACGAATAAGCAATTTGAAGATGTGTGTGGATACAAAACATTCTGTCCAACCATGTATGTATTAATTTACAATTTTAAGTGGAAGGCATCGTTATTATAAAGAATTAGGGTTTATGCAGAATGGTGTGATATTCATTATTAAACGCATATAAAAAATACTGAATACAATACTAGGCACCGAGGGCATTGTAATAGTTCAGCATGATGATAAATGATGATTGCATCTGCATTCAAATACAAAATAGAAACCTATTAACTCGGGTCAAACTAGTTAGCAAACAAGCATCATGTGATACTCATAACCTGTTTGTAAAAGCACTTTACGCAATACACAAACATAGATAACTTTGAGCGAACAGACACAGTAAGTAAATATGCATTCACCTCCTCATTCTCAAATAAGGATATAGGCAGGGTGAAGATATTGAGTGCTGGATAACTTTAAATTCTTTACAAACTTACTGACATGGTTGAAAACTATTTGACCATAAGAATTTTCTGTTTATATAAATATTTGAACACAATAATCATTTAATTGAATAGGCAAATATGTACAAATACATATTAACATTGCATATAACATATACCACCAACCTGTAAGAAGGATCGCAGTGGTCAACTTAAACACATACGGTTGTGGTCAGTCAATGTGATCAAGGTGTAAATGCATGTGTGCAGGTGAAAGACTGAATGCTAGATTAATGTTTGAACTGGAACAATCACGCGTAAGCAGACTTGAACAACGAAACCTACTTAAACCATACTGGAGTCGTTCACCCTCGGTACCTAATGTACCCAAATATACCCACAACTATTGATAGTTGGAGCTGAGGCTTAAAGATAGAGTTGACTAACGAAAGCGCTTTCTTATGACTAAAGTATGTGTCCATAAACCATACCACTTCAATTCACCATATGAAATATAAAGAAAGTATATTGCTGTCACGGTGCCTCATTTCAAGCTATACCAAAAAGATTGTTGCAGCTTTAGGGAGAAAATAATCACATTCCTTCAATCCATTCAATGTGTAAAGGGTTTGTTGCTTTACCTCTTCTCAAGTCCACTGAATCATCCGTGTCAACCCTCCGCCTTATATCATTAAAAAAAACACTTAAAAAACTCACAAAATGACAGCCTCCTTTCAGACATGACTTCACATACACATAGTTCAGTATTATTCGGTTTTATGCATGATCCAGGTACTGAAGCGTGGGCCTTGAAATACGTTCATTTTTGAAATACTTTCCGCATGAGGGCGTTCAACCTATTTTTTCTATTACATCTGATACACTATACGTACCACAACTTCCCCTTTACGACCGTATTTTCCTGTTGGTCGAGTTCCTGTCACAATCCAGTCAGTGTCCTGATGGGATGAACGTAATTGGATGAAGAACTACTTCATAACATTCAAGGCCATTTTACCAGCTATAATATAGTCGAAACATAAATAACTTGTGATACTTTCCGAGTCACTCACTTGTCAGGCTGTTATAGTATAAACATATCTTATATATGAAGTTTTAGAATTACAAAAAGATCTTTCTTCCAGACAATACAACATCGTCTGTCTTGTTTTTGCTGTCAGGCCATGTGCGGTAACAAGGCTGATGCAGCGCAAAGGCAGCACTCAGCAAACTGTGTCACCATTTCCTATCACATTCACAGCATTGACATGACAATTCCACACTCTCCTCTTCTTAGCTGACTGCAAACCATATCAACTCACCATTAAAACTAGTTGACTCAACTTGGTCTTGACATAATCAGAAAGAATAATCTGTTCCCAATTGATGCCCACTTAAAGTCTTTTCATCGTTAATAGTGCCATAAACGGAAATTAATATGTCGTAGTATGACATTTGTTGCCTCATTTGATCATCTCCATGTCGGTTCATCACGCCCTTATGTCCAATGTCTAGAGCAACGCCATTTAGTCTTTGTCCATTGTTGTTCGTTTTTCTATATATGTGTTATCATTTCACTGTTAGTCAGCTTGGTATTCCGAGTGCTGGTGTCGGGACGACCTCGAGCAGGATGTGCCGCTCGTAGGAAACGTCCTGAGGTTGAGCTGAAGCTCCGCTCACCTCATGTATGCCTGAGCTTGAAGGTCCGCTCATCGCTGTGTTTATGTTGTCAGAGCAGGTATTCAGCTCATTGAGTATTTTTGCTGTTTATTGTTTATATGTTATGCAAAAAACGTTCTGGGACGGCGAAGCCGAATTTGTCCTTGATTCCCCAAAGGGCTAATTCCCTGTCAACATGCGCGTTGACACATGGCAAAGATTAAGCAGACAATGATGTCAAACAGGTTGAACAGTTTGGACGAGTTTTAAATAATTTCCCATCTGAACTCAAACCATCCAGTGAATTCTATCATCCCCCTGAAGATGTAGGTGCCTGAGGTACTCTTGGATTTTATGCAGAATTGTCTTGATGGATGGTATCATCAAACGACTCCTGGAGGCTTTCATCAGCCCATGTCCTTCCTAGTGATTTGAGCTCGCAATGTTGATCAGAAAAAACACAATCAAATAGGATTATGTTCAATGTTAAACAACTTGCAAAGGACCCTGCAAGCTCTAGTGGAGATTAGGGGGACATGGATGGACAAGCATTGAACCTAGTGAATAACGTGCATGAATCAATGGAGACATTTCCGGACTCAAGAACTGCTAAATTATGGCTGCAGTCCGTGAATTTTGTATCCACTGTACACATGTTCATCCGGGCAGGGAGAATTGTTAATTGGCTTCTTTATTTAAAAACATCCCAATATATGGTTTGCCGCGATGGGACACAATAATTACCGTATTCGACGTAATAAGCGACCAGGGCGCTCTCAAAATTAGAAACAGGAGGCTCTTATTAGAATAATTATTATTTTGGTGAAAAAAAAAACAGATTTGAAAGATAAATTTCGCGGTTTATGCTGACAGACAGAAATGTTTATATACGACGGATATATTTTTTCAGAATTTAATTGCCCATAAATTAAGGGTGCATATAACACACGAGTGCGTATTATGCGCGAATAAATAAGTCTTGTGTACACTGATCAATCGGAAGGGGTGCTAATTGGGATTGTTCACTAGCCAATATATGAGCAATTATCGCCGTGGGCGCTTATTACGTCGAATACGGTATACTAAATACTGCAGTCTGTATGTACATTCAGGACTT